GTACATGGGTGGGCCTCCCCTCCTCTACCCCACTAGCACATGTGTATGTGACCACTCTGGCCTGACACTGCTGCCTGTATGAGTGCACCCTGCCCTCCACCCCCTCTGCATTGCCTTTTCTGTCAGAGCCTTGGTGAGCATGGAGCCTACCGGCCCTGCCCCCACCAGCTCCTGGCCCCTGCACCAACACTGCTGCCAGCACAAAACTAGGCACAAAAACCAGCAGACCTGCCCCAAACCTGCCCCACCCTGGACTGCCCACCAATGCTAGCATGAATGTGCACAGAAGGCGCACACAATCCTGCACTCACTAGCACTCTGCCCCTGTGCTAATACCACCAGCAGAGCTAGCTAACGCATGCACAGGCATTGGTGGGGGTCCCCAAACCCCCCAACTGTGCTGCTACCACCACTGCTGTGAAGGCCAGCACAGAGGCCAGCACCCTGGCACCCACTAGCCCTCTGATATAGCTTACGAGTATGCACCCCACTGTGGTGCCACTGCTACTGCTTCTGGCACATGGGAACAGGAATGGATCCTGCTGCCACTTCCCTGCTTAGTGCTTTGGCTGGCACCACCCATCAGAGTGTTGTGATCAGTGGTCCAGGAGCACCCCAGCCCCTCCAGCACAGCAGGTTGATAATCTTGAGGAGCCAGAGAATAAAGCAGGGCTGATACAAATCCCCCAGGGTTAGAACATGCAGTCCAGGAGTCCTGAGCCCTGTCTCCCTAAAATCTTTCAGAAATGAAGCCAGTAGGCAATACCACTTAGGACATCGGCATGGACAAAAATTTTATGACAAAAACATCAAAAGCAATTGCAACAAAAGTGAAAATCGACAAATGGAATCTAATTAAAGAGCTTCTGCACAGCAAAAGAAACTATCATCAGAGAGAACAGACGATCTATAGAATGGGAGAAAGTTTTTGCAATCTATCCATCTGACAAAGGCCTAACATCCAGAATCTGTAAGAAACATAAATAAATTTACAAGAAAAAAAAAAAACAAAACAGCTCCATTAAAAAGTGGTCAAAGGACATGAACAGACACTTCTCAAAAGAAGACTTATACAGCCAACAAACATGAAAAAAAGCTCAACATCACTGATCACTAGAGAAATGCAAATCAAAACCCCAATGAGATATTATCTTACACCAGTCAGAATGGCGATTATTAAAAAGTCAAGAAACAACAGATGCTAGTGAGGCTGAGGAGAACCAGGAATGCTTTCACACTGTTGGCAGGAGTGTAAATTAGTTCAACTATTATGGAAAATAGTGACAATCATCAAAGACCTAGAACCCGAAGTACAATTTGACCTAGCAATCTCTTGACTAGCTATATATCCAAAGGAATATAAATCATTTTACAATAAAGATACATGTATGCATATGTTCATTTCAGCACTATTCACAATAGCAAAGATATGGAATCAACCCAAATGCCCATCAGTGATTGACTGAATAAGGAAAATGTGGTACATATACACCATGGAATACTGTGCAGCCAAAGGATGAGAACAGGTCCTTTGCAGAGACATGGGTGGAGCTGGAAGCCACTATCCTCAGCAAACTAACACAGGAACAGAAAACCAAACACCACATATTCTCACTTATAAGTGGGAGCTAAACAATGAGAACACATGGACACAGGGAGGGGAACAACAATAAACACTGGGTGGAGCCTGTCAGAGAGCTAGGGAGGGAGCGCATCCTGGTAAATAGCTAATGCATGTAGGCTTTAATACCTAGGTGATAGGTTGATAGGTGTAGTAACTACTACGGCATATTTTACCTATGTAACAAACCTGCAGGCCCTGTACATGTATCCCAGAACTTAAAAAAAAAAATGAAACCAGTTGACTGAAGCCATCTTATGCCCCAATAAAACCCGCAGGTTATCAAATAGGATAAAAGAAAAAAAAAAAGGATGGTAACTTCAAAGATTGAAGGAACATCAGCACACAGAGATGAGAAAGAACCAGCATAAAAACTCTGGCAACTCAAAAGCCTGGGTACCCTTTTTCCCCCCAAACAATTACACTAGTTCTCCAGCAAGGGTTCTTAACTGGGCTGAGATGGCTGAAATAGCAGAAATAGAGCTTAGAATATGGATAGGAATGAAGATCATTGAGATACAGGAAGACATTGAAACCCAATCCAAGAAAGCTAATCACAATAAAACAATAGAGGAGCTGACAAACAAAATAGCCAGTATAGAAAAGAATGTAACTGACCAGAAAGAGCTGAAAAACATACTACAAGAATTTCATAATGCAATTGCAAGTATTAAGAGCATAATATAAAAAGCTGAGGAAAGAATCTCAGAGCTTAAAGGCTGACTTTGTGAAATGAGACACTCAAACATGAATGAAGAAAAAATAAAAAGGAACAACCAAAACCTCCAAGAAATATGGAATTATGTGAAGAGAGAAAAAATCTGTGACTCTTTGGCATCCCTGAAAGAGATGAGGAGAAAAGAAACTACTTGGAAAACATATTTAAGGATATCATCTTTAAAAATTTCCCCAGCCTTGCTGGAGAGGCCTTCATTCAAATTCAGGAAATGCCAATAACCCCACACGATACTTCACAAGAAGATCATTCCCAAGTCACATAATTATTGCATTATCCAACGTCAAAATAAAAGAAAAAAATGTTAAAAGCAGCTAGAGAGAAAGTAAGGTCACCTATAAAGGGAAGCCCATCAGACAAACAGCAAACCTCTCAGTAGAAATCCTACAAGCCACAAGAGATTGAGGGCCTATATTCAGCATTCTTGAGGAAAAGAAATTCCAACCAAGAGTTTCATATCAAGCCAAACTAAGCTTCGTAAGTGAAGGAGAAATAGCCTTTTCAGACAAGCAAATGCTGAGGGAATTTGTTATCACCAGACCTGCCTTACAAGAGCTCCTGAAAAAGGTACTAAATATAGAAAGGAAAGATGGTTATTAGCCAATACAAAAGCACACTTAAGTACACAGATCAGTGACATTAGAAAGCAACCACAAAAACAAGTCTGCATAAAAACCAGTTAACAACATGACAACAGCATCAAATCCACACATATCATTACTGGCCTTGAATGTAAATGGCCTAAATGTTCACATTAAAAGGCATAGAGTGACAAGCTGGATTCAGAAGTAAGACCCAGTGGTATGCTGTCTTACTTTTTTTAATGTGATTGCTGGAACATTTAAATTACCTATGTGGCTCACATTTTATTCCTATTGGACTATATATAATGGAGACCTTGGCTTTCAACCTAAAAGTTCAGACCAACTTAAATCTCCCTAACTCTTTCTAATGTCTTTACTGTACCTATTTCTGATGTGGAACTAGCTCCTGATAAGCATACAAAACTATATCTTGCCATCAATTATAAATACTTCTACCAATGCAGAAAGTTGGCATGGAGATGGAAATGTCTAAAGCTTGATCCTGAGCCTATAAAATATCATACCAGAAACATATTTTTGAAACCAGTGCCAGTAGTTATCATTCTCAATTTAAAATATCTAATTTGAGGAAAATTGATTTTTAATTTGTTACGTAGGTATTATGAAACACTCTTCTGTGTCTGCATAAAGCTTGGTAAGCAATAATTTTGCTTCCCTATTGCAGCTATTTTGTGCTGTCTTTTTAAATCCTCTGTCAACATATAGAGTTCAAGGTCTCAGTATTTCTCACCTAGACTACTGGACTATTACAGCTTCCTAACTGAGTTACTCTTGCTTAGATTCTCAGCCTCAAATCTTTCCTTGACCTGGCTGCCAGATAATCTGTCAGATATGCAGCCTATCCCTGGCTCCTCACATATTCCATTCTAAAAAGAAGAAGAAGAAGCTTCTAGTGATATCACATTTTTTAACTAATTTATCACCAGACACCTAAATGCTCTTTATCCTTTGACCACAACTCTACTTTATTTTGCAACCCCCTCTCTCTTTTCTAGACCACTTTTTGTTTGCTCTAACTCCTGCCATGTTACCTCACCTCTGGTTCTTTCCCCAGTTTTCTCTGTTTAGAATTCCCTCTTTTCTTCCCCCATCACTCTATGTTCCCTGCTCCTCCAGTTTCATCTTGAATGTTATTGTATTAAAAGACAGTGTATTATTAGTGCCTTAAGTGGGGAAGCAAAAAACAAAGGAAAAATTAAACAAAAGTGGAAATAACAAAAAAAAAAAACAAAAACAAAAAACAGATGGCGAAGCAATTAAACTAAAATACATTATTTCATTGAAGAGGGAGCCAAGTCAAGTACAGCGATATCAGATGATGACCTAGCTCTCATGTCATCTTCTCTTGGAGAATTTTGTAGGGGTTTAGGCCCAGAATGTGTTGTGTGGGTAAGTAATTACCCAGAATGGAACTTTATTTTTTTTATTTGTAGACTTGCTTTTTTCAATTATCTTGGAATACAAGTGAGATCATTGCTGTGTGGTGTGAGGTAGGGATTAAGATTAGGAGAGTAGTGAGACATTGACAGTGTTGGGAGAAGGGAGAATACTGCATATTGTGTGGCATTGTGACTTCAACTGGTATAGAGAATTTCTAGAACTGCAGTTAACAGTTAAAGATACCAGGTATAGCTGCCTTGGCATGCATAGTAGAGCAGGAAGATTATGTTTGCATGTTCTGTTGGAAATATATTTGATCATATTTTAAACTTTTTAATGACTGTTTATCTTTTTGTAATTCAAGGAAATAATAAAAAGTTATTGAATGGAAACACAGCAATTTTCTATTTATACAGATTTTAAAAAGCAGAAAGAACTTTATGTACAAGAACATCTCCTTAGGAAAAGAGTAGTCCCTCCAGGATTTGAATTTACTTGTGTCATTTTTACCCAAAAAGGGGATAATAAAACAAAACAAAACAAAACACCTTTGGGATATACATTGACGTAATGTGTCTTCCTGGAAGCCAAGCTAAAAGCATGTGTCTAATGACTGCTCAGTATTTAAGCTAATGCAAGTGTGATTTACATTTTTCAGGAATGGACAAATGAGGTTTTCAGTTTGGCAACAAACCTGCTGGCCCAAAACATGTCCAGGGATGCATTTCTGGAAAAAGCGTAAGTAACTCTAATTTTATTGCTAAGGGCATTGCTTCTTCTAAGTAAGTTTCCTTTCTCCTTTGTGAGTCTTTTGTTTATGCAGCACCACCTTCTCACATTGATAAACATGAATTTTCCTTTGGGATTTGCTAGAGAACTGATACCTCCCCTGTTCATAATTGGAAGACTTCCAAGAAAGATCTCTTTTCCTCCAAGCTGCACACCGATGTTGCACCTTGGCTGAGCTCACATGAATGTCAGTGCTTTTGACACACAACACAGAGACACTTCCAAATCCTGGCAGCTGTGCTCAGAACTAAAAATTATTAATTTCAGATAATCTTCTGCTTTTACATCTTCCTGTGTCCTCTCAATTATTAATCTGAGGAACAGCATATGTTTCTCATTTCTCTAGAGTTACAAATCTGATACATGCTACGATTACTTCCTGACTACTTAAATCAATAGGCTGACATCCTGATTCCATCTCATGTAGATGATCCCAGCAAGTATTAGTAAAAAAAGAGAAAGGCTCTAAAGGAAAGAGAAGAAAGAAAATAAGGAAAGAAAAGCAAAACAAATTGCCAGATCACTCTGGAATTGCCACAGCCTTTCTAAAAATTGTTTGACCAAGGGAAATAATGACTTAGGCATGATGAGCAGCAAGGAAAGCTGGTTGTGTTCATTTTGGAAGCTGGGGCTGCTCAGAAGGTTAAGAAGTCTTTAAATCAAAACCACAAGTGGAAACATTAATAGTTAGTCCTCTGTTTTGTTTAATAGAGTTCTCTCTTCCCTCTTCTTATGTAAGACATACCCATCATTCCAGACCTAATACCTCAGCCACCTTCCTTTTTTATTCTTCTATGAATTCTTTTGCTTTTAGTCAATACCTCACAGGTCTTCATTTAAGAACTTTTTTGTAGGATCGCCTTCTCTCCTGAGTTTGTTACCTTAAGGACTCTTCTTTCATGCCTCTACTTGTTCCCTTCCCTTCTTCCTCCTTCTTTTTATCCTGTCTTTGATTTTATCATCCTTCTTCTAGAACATGTTTTCCAGGCAATGTTTCTAGAAGATTTGTTCTTCTATGCAGTGCTGGTGAAAGGAGACGGGGTAAATAACATGCTTCATCTGAAACATAGCATGTTATTGCTAGTTAGCTAATCAATTTCTACTACCATTGTCTGTTCCAGAAAGATGTCTCCCTATGAATAGCTACTATTGACATGTCTTTTGGTGAACATATTATTAATATTTTTGTTGAGCACATCTAGCTTTGGGATTGCTGGGCCTTAGTGTGTGCAGCTTCCTGAAGTAGAATTCCCAATGTATGCGTTCATCAGCAGTGACCTAGAGTTCTCATTCTGACAATGAATATGTAAGCAAACGATAAGCAAAATATGGTTAGGTCTCCGAAGCATAATATTGAGTGAAAGAAGCCAAGCACGAGAGTATGATTCCATTTATGTACGGTTCGGAAGTAATCTATGGTATTTGTAGTTAGGATAACATTTCTCTTTGGCAGGGGGTTTGGGAAGGACTTCTGGAATGCTGCTAAAGTGACAATATTTCTATTTCTGAATCTGGGTGCCAATCTGTGAAGACCTGGGCAATTTTAGGAAATTCAGCAAACTGTACAAAGGCATGGGCCTTTTTAAATGTATTTTATTCTTCAAGAAAAAAAGCTTTTTTTTTAAAAAAATATCAAAACCTTGTTTTTGTGCTTCTCCAACAGCTACACTAAACTTAAGCTGCAAGTCACTCCAGAAGGGCGTATTCCCCTCAAAAAGTAAGTTTCGTGAGCATTTCTCATTATTCGTTTTATTTTCTTCAAAGATCTGACTTCGTGCCATGGCTCTGTTTTGTTTCTCCAGCAGCCTACGTAGGAGAGTGGAAATGCGTGGTAGCCTCATCTTCCCTCATACATGTCTCGTGGCAGTGCAGCTGCTTTCCTCATAGACATCTCCCCGGGGCTTCCCTTTCCTCTGGCATCGTTTTCAAGAACTACCAAAGCAGGAAGCGGGTGGAGGAAGTGGAGGGAACCTTGCTACTGAGCCCAAAAGTCCATCTGAGGTTCAGATCTATTCTAGGAGTGGAAATTGGCTGACCTCAGTGCTTCTATCTACCAAGATGACTGTAGCCCTCAAGCGGGGGTTGCAACCTCAGATGCTAACAGGATCCAGCCAGGGAATGCAAATGAAACAGGCCAGGAGGAGGAAGAAAAAGCAAAGAGCAAACCTTGTCTAAAGGGGATTAGTAACAAAAAAAGTCCATCTCTAGGTCATATTCAGCCAAAAGTCTAACTTTTGATAGGCTGCTAGAAAGCTTCTGCAGATAAACAAATTAAACCAGGCACAGTGGCTCATGCAAGTAATCTCAGTGCTTTGGAAGGCCAAGGCAGAAGGATTGCTTAAGATTAGGATTTTGAGAGCAGCATAGGCAACATGGTGAGACTCTATCTTTGCAAAATTTCCAAAAATTAGCCAGGTGTGATGGCACATGCCTGTAATTCTAGCTACTAGGGAGGCTGAGGCAGGAGGATCACTTGAGCATGGGAAGTGGAGACTGCAGTAAGCTGGGATCATGCCACTACACTCCAGCCTGGGCAACACAGTGAAATCCTGTCTCTAAAAAAAGTAAACAAATAAAAATTAAAAAGGGAATTAATTTAAAAATAAATTTACTAATAATGCAAGGTACACCTTGGGGCAATGGGTAGTAGCAAGGGAAAAAATTAATATGGATGTTTATGTTAATGCTTAATATTAGAGATTATATAATGTAATATTTTTAAATTTTAGATTAAAAATTAAAAAAAGATTTATTTTATACTAGATACCTTAATTTTAAAAAGCACACAGGTTGATCGTTCTGAAGACAGATGCAAATGCATGGAGGAATGGTTATCTTTTAGTTCGTTAAATATAAATAATAAATAAATTTGACCAAGTGGAATATTTTGAGTTTGGAATCATCTATTAGTGTTGTAATCCATATGCCATTTAAACCTCTCTTCTTTGTTATGTTTTCACTTCACAGCATATATCGCTTGTTTTCAGCAGACCGGAAGCGAGTCGAAACTGCTTTAGAGGCTTGTAGTCTTCCGTCTTCAAGGGTAAGCATGTAGTGTTACGCTATAGTTTGAATGTTCATCCCCTCCAAAACTCATGTTGAAACTTAATCCCCAATGTGACAGTTGTGAGAGACAGGGCTTTTAAGAGTAAATTAAGAGCTTCCATGATTAATGGGTCAATAGATTAATGGATTATCATGGGAGGGGAACTGGTGGCTTTATAAAATGAGGAAAACAGACCGGAGCTAGCATGCTCCGCCCCCTCACCGTTTGATTCCCTGTGCTACGTAGCAAGTGGAGAGTCCCCACTAGCAAGAAGACTTTTCCCAGATATGCCCTCTCAACCGTGGACTTCCCAGCCTTTGTAACTGTAGGAAATACGTTTTGATTCCTATATATTACACAGTTTCAAGTATTCTGTAATATGCATCAGAAAACAGACCAAAACTGAAAATTGGTATTAAGAGGTAGGGTTTTTGCTGATAACAAATATCTGAAGATGTAGAAGCAGCTTTGGAACTGGGTAATAGACAGCTGCTGAAAAAAGTTTATAGAGCTGGTTGGAAACGGTCAAGACGCTGGGTGGGGGGAGGGGCTTTTTTCACTCTTATAACCCCAATGTTTAGTTTTACAATTTATAAGCTACATAAGCAATTAGTATGCTACTATGTGTTTATAAATCGATATATTTACATACTTTACAAAGCTGTGCTCAGAAAGTTTTTACTGAGAGGGATGCAGGATCAAAACAATTTGGGTAACACCTACTTTGCTCATATGGTGGTAAAGTTGGTGAGAGGGCAAGCACGTGACACGCTTTTCGTTTTTATGCCTCACATATACAAGATACATCATACACATTAACCACCTCAAATTAAATAATTTGCCTTCATTTTGATTAATGTCTACATGACTGTCTCTAAAATGATTTGTTACTATTGTTTCTGGAAGTTCATTGTAGAAAACTTTTTCGTATGCAGAACTCTCTTTTCTATTACAAATTATTTTTATCTTAGTATCTAAGCAACAAGGAAGCATTTACTTAAGGATAACACTGACTTTATAAAAAGAACCTTTGAGTCCCTCAAAATGTGCCAGCAATGTTCAAGTTGCACTGAGTTGGGTTGTAAGGCCATTCTTATACTTATGATTGAATTATAAAAGTATCAAGTGCTGTGACTGAATTTATCAGCCAACTACCGTTGTGAAGACGTTTCAAAAAACAAAGTTCATTAACAAATTCGGTAGGTTCCAAGAAAAAAATAAGAGCACCTGTCCACTATCACCTTCCTTCTACAGGTGGAAAAAGCTAATGAGGCTGCAAAAACTGAGCAGAGTTGTGGAAAGCCTCCCTCAAAACATTTTCACCTTCATTTTATAAAGCAAAATAAAATGCTTGAACCTGCTTTTTTGTTAGATGCTTTGCATTAGGAAAAATATAACAATTAAGGTCCTGTCCCTGACTTCAACAAAGTATTTCTTGAGATTTTACTATGTGCCAATAGATATTGAGAATATGGTGGTGAACAAAATAAAACTCAAGGGTTCAAGGACCATAGAGTCTTCTGGGGAAACTCAACAAATGCATTTGTAAACCGGGGGAAGTGCTGTAAGAGACTGGAGAACTACTACTGAGAAGAAGGGAAGCTCATTTCAGAAAATGAAAACAATGTATGCAAATCCCTGAGGCTGGAAATAATTTCCCTATTGGGTTTGAGTAACTGAGAGAAGACCACTGCATTCGAGCATGAAGAGAAAGCATGAGAGATGGATTTGCAAAGACATACAAATAAGTTTTTTTCCTTTGCCATCACTTCTGATTTTACCTTTTCTGGATAATGTGTGGTAAAATATAATGATCAAAATCTTTAACTTATGAATCCAGCTAAGGGAAAGAAGGAATAGAAAATTAAATGCATCAACCAATTTCCCATAAATTGTAATTTTCTAAACAATTGGATTCTAGCCATTCAATCAATAAATATAAATTCAGTAAGCTACTGTGTCTGTCTTATGTTCCAACTTTCAGACCAATGTCAACTGCAGACAAATTTAAAAGGAAAATGAGATTCAAATAACAAGAGTTATGCTAAAATTGGAAAAAATTATCTTTAACAAATTAAATGTAATGACAATTATCTGAAGTTGGAGATACTTTAAAAACAATCTGTATCCTAAAATTTTGAAAGATTATTAAAGTATAATTTACTTGAATGACTTACAGAATTAGAATGTTTTTAAAATATCTGAAAACCAAAGACAGCTTCAGAACTATGAAATAAATGTTTCTGTGAACTGACCATGATGAATCAAAACTCTGTTTAAAATCTCTGTGTAATTTCATTTCTACATAACAATGACTGTAGAAAATATCCACAAGTTAGCAAAAAATTTTGGCCATATTGAAAAGAAGTATTTTAAACAAGCCACAGAAGAAAAGGGTTATATAAATTGTAGATGGTTCTGCATAAATGGAAGCATATTTTGTAGCCAATAGACATTTCAACTAGATGGAATTGTGCTCTGTAAATAGATATATTACCAGAAACACAGTGGATATCCTGTTGAGTTTTTTTTTAAACATGGTAATTGTACACACTGTTAGGGAAAATTAAGGCACTTGAATTTGTATCCTGGCCAACATGACCCACTGGAATAACACATTTCTTTAGAGGGTGCTACTCCTTTAGAGATTACAGTTGCTAGCCTGAAGTAACCCTAATTGTTCAAAAGTAGTCCTGTATCTGAAAAGAGAGACAAAGCAAGTTCTGTCCTTCTGTTAACCACCCAAACATATTTTCCATTGAGACCTTTGAAAACTGTTCCATGTTCAAAAAAATTACCACTTTACCCACAAACTTTCTGAGAACTGAAAATAGTTTATTTGCACCAAATTCCCTTGATTTAAGGCTTATTAACTTGAAAAGAGCTCAGTGACATTTGGAATTGTATAGCAGTCATACCATAGCACTGGCATATGGAGTTGCATTTTAACAAAGAAGACAAGGAATAAACCCATGTATTTGTTTCAAATAATAAAGTTTACTTTAGTTGATGGGCACACATGTAATACAAAGATAAATTAATTATTTTAAATTTGAAGAATACTATAAATTTTACTAAAGAATACTATGAATAAAATGTATAAATAGCTTCTTGTGTAACTGTAGTATGTTGCCTTTCTTCTATGCCTTACATACTGACTATAAATCAGAAACAATCATTTTTGTGCTTGTGATTCTTCAAGTCAGTAATATCAAAATTCTACTTTAAAACCACATTAAGTATTCAGTTTATTGTGAGTCATTTACTTGTAGTTATTTCATAAATTCCATGGCTAATTCAACATTTCATTTAAAGTTTCAGAATGAAAATATTGACAATATGTTGATGAATTTACTGGGAAATTGTCCATCAACTGATCAAGGAAAACAAGTTTATATGTGGACTTTATTCATTAGTTTCTGCTTCAGTGAATTAATATATTTTGAAATAATATTTTTCTGAAATTTAAGTACCCATTCCTCATATAATTATTTGCAAACCCCCATCCCAAAACTAATAGAATATTTAGTGTACTGGTTTTTAGTATAAAGTATAGAATTAAGCAACACAGATTCAGAATATAGTCATTGTCACCCCATCACACCCATTTGCTCACCCAGGTCCTTAGAGAAGTTTTGTAACCTCCTAGGGCCTGAGTGTTCCTATCTATAAAAGTGGTACAGTAATAATGCCAGCTGCATGGGGTTGATGGGATTACATGAAAATATTCAAGTAAAGCTCATAGAGCTATGTTTGATACACTCTAAGTGCTAATTTTTATTTTCATTTTGAATATTTTTCATATGTATATACTGGGGAGATCTTTTCTTTATTTGGCATTTGGATATGACATTACCAGGTCTATGGAATCTAGAAATCCAAATGCCACCAGTACTATCACCAAGATAGTTTTTAAAAAAATTTCCCTTTTGAGAGTCCTTGTATTTGAGCATGGTATTGAAACAATTCTATTTTTTCAAGTTTACCAATACTTTGCAGTTTCTAAAATAAATGGGCCTGGTTCAGATTACTAATTTAGATTATACTAGCCTTCTTTAGTCACCCTTCAAAAAGGTCGAACAACAAGAAGTAACCACTGATGGTGTGTTTTGTATTGGATGCCTGATGTGATGGACCAAGTCCTGTATTAAAAGGAAAGACCTTAGGTCTGGTATCATCTCCTGGGTCATCCAGCAAACACCGATTAGGTATCTGTTATATGTCAGGCACCATGCTGAGAACACAAAGGAATTAAATAGGAGATCGTCTGGTCACTCAAAAGCTCATAGTTCAGTAGAAAATCAGAAATATAAAAAATTTTAGAAAGCTGCGGAATGGATGCAATAACAAAGATATATAAAGGGAGACTGTGAACACAAAAACTAGTGTCATCTCTAGGTGATGTGGTCAGGAAGGGTTCACAGAGGAATATTTGAACATTGGGCATGGTCTTTAGAGTATTAGACCTTGCATTTCCTACTAGACTAAAGGAAAAATGAATCTGTAACATTTACTTCATTAAGTTGTGAGATCCGGAAATGGAAAGTATGTGAATAAGGTTTGTGAATTTTAGTCTTGTTTAAAATGCAAGGAATGTGGGATTATCCATAGCTTTTCCCTAAATATCTCCCCTCTACCCTTTCATTTTTGTTTTCAATAATGCTTACTTATTTTAACGCCTCTCTACAGAACACTTTTTCTCCCGTTTTTACCTACTAACCCCAAAGACTTTGGGGTATCCTCATCAGTCAAGTTGGGCAAGAGAAAAATAAGACAAAGAAAATCAGCTATATTGAAATTTTTTCATTTTTCAATATGCTAACATCCCACTGGCAATGAAAATAATGTTGTGTTTATTCAGATTATCTCATTAATTTGACCCTCCTAATTCACAGCTGGTACATAAACAATGGTAAGATTTTAGTAAAGTATATTGTGCTATCGAATTATGTGTCAAGACTCATATGTAAGTTGTTAGTTTACCTGATATTTCAAAGGAAATAACAGCACCCGAGTGCTCGCTATCAATTTCTCCACAATTCTCAATAAATTATATTCATTCATTTAGTAAATATTTATTTGTACCTATTATATGTAGCACACTGGAAATAGAGCAGTTAACAGGCAACACACATGTCCTAGCTCGTGTGCTTCTGCAGATTAGCAAATAGAGAGAATTGTTTAGCTGGGAGCACAATACATTGAGTGTTGAAAAGTGAGACACACAAGGTGTGATGTGTGCACAATTGGAAGACCAAACCCACTTCAAGGAGCAGGCAAGGCTTTCCAGAGGAAAAGGTTATAAACTAAGATGGTAAGGAAGAAAAAGAGAAATCAGTAAGCGAAGGATGACAATTATTGATCAAATCAATTTATGTGTATGTTGAGTGAGGTTGGTGGAGGGGGAAGTGAGGTGAACTCTATTTAGTAGAGAAAATAGGAAAACATGCATGGGGTTCATAAAATCCAGTAAAGCTGGAGGCACTGGAGTTGACCAGCAGTGACACTGAGCATTTTCTTGCTCAAGAAACATTTTAAATCTTTCTCTTCCCTCTGTCTCACAGACAATGAGTAAAGTCCATAGGGTCATTTTCATTTATTAAAACTATGTACAGAGCTCTAGTTGTCCAAATCAGAGAGAGGGTGGCGCTGAAAAATATGCCCTCTCCAGCTACAGAGATTTCTCTCTTTCTGTAAATCAAGTGGAATTTTGGAAACCTGCTTGTAGATTATACTTGTTCCCATTTTATGAATGGCAAAATACTAATAAAACAATTCACAAGAAGTCCCCACTGCTCTTAGATTTGACCACTTTTGCTTATTATTTCAAAGTTTGTGCCCAAGTACCCTAAGTTATAATGGTACAACACATTGTACCATTCATGTGTTGTTTATATAATGATTCATGTATTGTTTGGTTGTCTCAAAATACTGTTTTGCAAAATAGATTTTTCTGTCTCTATAAATGGATTTAATAAAGGAAATATTACTTCATTCATTTCACAAATACGAATCTGTTGCTACCTGCCAAGTGGTGAGCTAAGTCCTCTTATTTGTTTGGAAGTGTTGAACAACTTCAGACAATAATTTTTAGACATTTGTATAACTGTACATTTCAAAACATGTGAAAATGGTAAAAGGAAGGGTGTGATCTTTTGTTTAAGGGCTTGAAAAATAAAAATAATCACATTAACACATACCTGAAATAGGAAGACTGTATGAAAAATGTCCTTCCTGTTAACAAAGTCTTGAATACATGCTTCCGGTTTCTATGGCAGCCCAACCAAACAGAAAAATAAGTCATGGAAGTGGCTTTTTATATCAATGACTTGCTTCCTCAACAATAGGATCGGGAGCAATTAGTAAAAAAAAATGACGGGTGCTGTCCTACTTATGAAAACTGTTTTACAACTTATCAGATTATTTAAACCAGAGGGAAAATTGTTTGAAAAAAAGGACGCAAAATTAGAATTTATGTTTTTATTTTGACTATGTCTGTCTCTATGGTCATTACTTTAAAAACAAAAAAGAATCAAGTAAAAAAAAAAAAAACTAAAAATAATCCTGCCAAACAGATTATCTTTCCTAGGTCTAATTTACTTTAGGAAATGTGTGTAGGAAATTGCGTTAACATCCCTTTAGCAGGAGAAAACTCTTAAGCTTAAATAAAACTGAAAAAGCCACAGAAAAAAGGGATTCACACCCCAAAGCCAGTGTCCAAATGAATGCTATGGTTGACCTCATAGATGTGTTATGAATGTTTACCCTGACCTCCTAGAAGAAAAGGAAAAAAAGGAAAGAGAGAGGGAGACAGGGGAGGGAGAGGAGGAAGAAAAAAAGAAAGGGAAGGGACAGAGAGAAAACAGGGAGGGAGGAAGCTGGGAAAAGAAAAAGACCATTTGCTGACTCTGTTGTTTCATTTCCTAGAATGATTCAATACCTCAAGAAGATTTCACTCCAGAAGTGTACAGAGTTTTCCTGAACAACCTTTGCCCTCGACCTGAAATTGATAACATCTTTTCAGAATTGTAAGAGTACACATTTTCATTCACATCTTTTCAGCTTGCATTGATTCTCAGGTGGCTAGAACAGGACTTTGAGTGGTAATTGGAGATGGAAGAACATCATTCCCTATGTCTAAAAGCAATATTCCTGTGTGATGTTTTTGATAGGATCACACAATCCTTTCCCTGAGGAGCAACCACTGCTTTTAATGAGTAGAAGTTTGCTGTGATATATTGCTGGTGGTAGTTGTTTTTGTATGCTCAGATAACTCTGTGTAGTTGAAAGATTGTGGATAGAACAGGAGGCATCTTAGCTTAGTGGAGATAGATTCATTTAGCAGGAAGAACTCTCTATTGGAAACCAGTTATTTTACCTCTCTGAGCCACATTAGTTACATTAGAAGTTTGGATTACTAAGAATCCTCTCAGCTGTCAAGAATCCTCATAACATTTGCTTTTATGTTAGAAATTATAAATTTATATCAAGGCATTACTTTTTTTTTGATAGATTGGAAGAAAAAGAAAGAAACCAAAGCACTAAGGCAAATATCGGGAAAGTAGCAGTTTACCTTTCTTGAAATACTGAAATCTACATGACAAAAATTCAAAATGTGGTAAACAAAATAAGGACTTCTTCATATGAAAGGCAGGCAAACAGTACTGCTGAAAATGACATTGCATATTCTTACTTTGTGCTGTTTATTGCCATCATATATTTATCGAGCATCTGCAACATTTGTACCATTGAACTTGTCTTTGGATGATCAATACGATTGAAATGGGAAGTTTGAACACTATGTTGAGGAGTTATAGTATCTTGTTGAAGCCTAACTGTGAATTTTTTTTAATGCTTAAACAGGTTGTTTACTTTTTTTAAAGTAATGATAATAAATACATCTTTAAAAATTAAATAGATATGGAGTTGGATGATTAAACCAAAAATTTACTGTCATAATCAAAAGATCAGTGTTCAGTGTTGAGTGGTGCATTCTTATGCACATGATTCAGTGTTTTTCTACCATGAGTTTTCTTACCCATTTGGTATTTTTTTAAGAGCATTGGGTTTTAGTGGTAGCAATTGTACAAGATATTTGTAGCCCATAGAAGTACAGAAATTGGGCTGGGCACAGTGTCTCACGTCCATAATCCCAGCACTTTGGGAGGCCGAGGCGGGTGGATCCCGAGGTCAAGAGATCAAGACTATCCTGGTCAACATGGTGAAACACCGTCTCTACTAAAAATACAAAAATTAGCTGGGCATGGTAGCACGTGCCTGTAATCCCAGCTACTCAGGAGGCTGAGGCAGGAGAATTGCCTGAATCCAGGAGGCAGAGGTTGCGGTGAGCCGAGATCATGCCATTGCACTCCAGCCTGGGTAACAAGAGGAAAACTCCATCTCAAAAATAAATAAATAAATAAAATAAGTACAGAAATTATGATGGAGCAGCACAGTGTTTTTAGGGTAAGACAGGAGTTTCAATATAGCATTTTCTTATCAAGTATAGCAGGATTTTTTTTCCCTAGAGTTAAAAGCAAATATATGAAGGAAACTACGTTTAAAAATTTCTTATTTCTTGGTTTTTAATTGTTTTTAGTGGTGCCAAAAGCAAACCATACCTTACCGTTGATCAGATGATGGATTTTATCAACCTTAAGCAGCGAGATCCTCGGCTTAATGAAATACTTTATCCACCTCTAAAACAAGAGCAAGTCCAAGTATTGATTGAGAAGTATGAACCCAACAGCAGCCTCGCCAAAAAAGGTCAGTACTTTCTCCCACACCAAAGGGAAGCTCTTGTTTCTGATTGCCTGTGGTCACACCCTGGGAGTTAGGGACACGAGTGATTGTTAGGTTCATTTCCTCTGTTTACAGAGGCGTTCCTTTCTGTCTGAAATCACTTGGTGGTTCAGTGAAGTAAGTTTTTCTTTAAACTTTGGTGTGTGATTTTTTTTGTCATTGTTGTTATATGTATGTATGCATGTAACATATTTTTAAATGTCTAATCCTTTGTTTAGTTTCAAATTCACCCAGTGACTGAATGCACATTTCTCATACAGGAAATTCGTTATCTTTAGGTTACACTTTTGGGTCTTTTTCTAGAAAGTTCTGTGAAGTCGCCAACGGATTTTTCTAAAGCTCTAAAACCGAAGAGAATATTTAGTCAGTGAGACTCTTCTCCTTTTCCAGTATATACTATCTGATAAATTTTTCTACCTAGGGAAATAGTCTAAAATTTAGCTTTCTGTGTAGAAAAACTTGTAGATACAAAACAACCCAAAAATTGATATTCCAAAGGCAGCTCTAAATTACCTGGAAGTTATTAAGAAATTTATATTTTTGATTCTGGGAAAATGAATTGACAAAATAAGATTGTGAAGATATGATTGATGCAAATTTTCAACTATATGTGGCAGCACTGTCCCTGAACAAGATCTTCTACTGCGAAGATTAACTCTCATCTGGATTGAAATATCTTCACCAAGAAAATCAGTGTGTCATCACTAATGTTATTGCAAATTGCCTAGATATTCCATAGAGAGGAAAGTAAGGTACATTTAACCAATTATTAAGAAGAAATCAATTATATGTTAATATGCAGGCAGTTTCTAAAGTAACAGAAATAACTCGAGCAAACTTCTAGTCATAAATAAGAATGATTAGCATAAAAGTAAATTTTAAGTCTTTTAACCCATTGTATTTAATCTAGAACTGGTCCTCTAAATGGAAAATGAAAATATGAAGTATTAATGGGCCAGGTGCTATGTCTCATGCCTATAATTCCAACGTTTTTGGAGGCCGAGGCAGATGGATAACTTGAGGTCAAGAGTTCCAGGCAAGCCTGGCCAACATGGTGAAATCCTGTCTCTACTAAAAATACAAAAATTAGTCTAGCATGATAGAGCACACCTGTAGTCCCAGCTACTCAAAAGACTGAGGCAGGAGAATTGCTTGAACCCAGGAGGCGGATGTTGCAGCGAGCCAAGATTGCACCACTGCACTCCAGCCTGGGCAACAGAACAAGACTCTGTCTCAAAAAAGAAAAAGAAATATAAATGTAAAATTTATTAATTTTCTTCTACATGCTACTTCTTGGGAATATTTAGATGCAATTTTTGAATTTTCATTTGTTTTCTTGGTGAAGCACTTTGCCTTTGTTGTGGTCACCATTCTTACTGTTGCTGTGAAGATGATATTAGTTCAAGGAAACAACTAATCCAACAGCATGTCTTGACATGGCCATGTCTGCCCCTCCAAACCTACTTAAATGGGTTGCCCTTTTTTCCCTAGTACACAGGAGATTAGATTTTTTCTTATCATGAAGAAGGGAACATCTCCTTGGAGGTTTTGCCCATGTAACTTAGCAGTTCTCTTATAAAATCCAAACTTCTCCAAAAATAACTAACACATTGTTACAACAAATCCAACAACACTTCTAAAAACCAGTTAGTCCTTGACACTAGGAAAACAAAAACCTTTTGTGGAACCAGTGAAGCACTCCAAAGTGTAAGTTTTTTCCTTTTCTTCCTCCTTCATACCACACTGCTGCTGGCCCATGCTTCAGCTGGTATCTGATACGTCCATACATCATTCTCTGATGACTTGGATGATGTAGCGGTCACAAAGAGAAAAAATTGTGATAGGTTACTATAAAACCCTATAATCCTAGAAAAAACAATTTTGATTCCAATGGAAATTAAGATGACATTTCCTAACATTTGCAAAATTATTTAGTGCCATCTTATGAATTTCACAATCGAAAGAGGCACACAAAATATTTAAAAATTTAAATATTTTTAAAAGCAAATGTCTCTGTTTTTCTATACCTTAATATGCCATTGATCAAAAACCTCTGTATCAACCTTAATAGCAGTATAAAGAAGCAACATAGAATTGTTCCACTTTTGAGTTTCAAAGCTGAGATCCACTTCACTAGTTACATAGCCTGGGTACTTAACTTCTCTATGTCTTAATTACTTCATCTTCAAAATTAAGGACAGGAGAATTCTTGATTTTCTTGTTGTAAATTTGAATTAAAGAATACCTGAAAAGCATTTGCAAAGAATAATCTGGGCCCGTGTAATGTGATGAAGAAACATTAACTCTTCTCAATGTTTGGAAGTGTACTGTGTTAGTTTTCATTCCTTGGGTGTTGTTGTCCATTTTGATCACATGATTTCTGGGCCCCAAACTTTCTTTTGTTTCCCCCAGCACCTAGAAGAATGCACCTACTTATGATGGAATCCTTAATGTAGACTTCTGGGTGTGGTCTAATCAGTGACACGAAGCATTTGTGCCCCAACTTGTCACTTAAGAATGTTGCCTGGTGGTCTCTGTACATAAAAATTTTGGTTAATGCCATCTCTACCTAAAGCCTTATCTAGCACATGGGAAGGACAGGGGCTTTGGAGTCCAACATCTGGAATGTGCCTAAAGGGCCAGCCACCTGCTACCATTGTAGCATGCATCCTCAGTCACTCCAGGGGACTCCAGCACCAGTTCAGAAGTTCTGGCTGGCAGTATCTATAGCTCATTCCTCTCCGCATTCCATATGAAAAAAATTCAAGGAGTTGAAAGTCAAATTACAAAGACCTTAGTAGGGTCACTTCAGCTCTAAGGCATGTACACAAAAAGGGACTCATGATAGCTGCCTTGTTTTAGGATAAAGTGAGATAGTGTCTGTTAATGTTTAGTTCAGCACACAATAGTCATTCAGTAAATAGCACAAATTGTTATTATCATTGTTTAAAGGTGACCAAATAGTACTAGAGGAAGCACACAGTCTCTAGTGTTCTAGTCTTACAAACTCAAACTTACAAGCCACCTTACATTAATTCATTCATGATTTCAGCTTTCAACAAATCTTCAGTGAAAGGCAAGAATCTACAGACAGTAATGGACCCAGAGATATACCCTATGCCCCAAGAGGTTTGCACTCCTCTTCAAAGAATATATATATATATATATTTTAAATATCATATTAATATCTAATGGCTCTAATTAATATAATATCTAAATATTACTTCTTGAAGTCCAATGTGCACCTGAATCACCTGAGCCCTTGTTAAAATGCAGATTTGAGATTCTGCATTTCTATCAAGTTACTGGTTGAGACAGCAGATGCTGGGCAAAGGCCCACACTAAGTAGCAGAGCTCTAAGAAGTACAGATAAAGTGCAGTAAGCGTGAAGATAAAGAGATTTCTTTCTGTCGGGGACAGTTCATGGAAGAGATAATATTTGGGCTGAATTGATTTTAACAGAGATGAGCTAGAGCCTTTACAACTTTAAACTTTTAGTCAAGTAGTTATTACATTTGGATCAGTAAACACATGAGAAAATAAGTAGGGAAGTTTAATATTACATCATAAGTTATTCTGCTGCTGCTGTCATTAACTGATTTCATATGTACCCAAGTGTTAGTAAAATTGGTGTTGATCTCAGTGTGGATACAGAAATTCAGTCTTATTTACCTGAGAAAGGCACTTCCACATAGCCTATACTTGTTATAAAATGCTAAGCATAAGATACATACATAATATACATAATAGACTATAAATATATATAACATATATAATGAACATATAACACATATACACATAGCATATAGTTGTGTGTGTGTGTACACACGCATATTCTCTGAAATCAAGAATCATATCTTAAAGTAGGTGTTAAACGAATAAATAATATAGAAACCTGACATATGCTGTTTAGCTTTTATGTGCATTTTATGTAATTTTTACATAAAAGATAGACTTAAAATTAAATGAAAATCTTTTCGTGTCACCAAAAGCCCAAATGCCAAAGCTGACCATAGTTTAGCTGACTAAAAGTGTGATATATGGAAATATGAAATGAAACTCCAGAAGAGACAATAGACTTTGATTTTCGGAGAATCTGCCGTAATTAGCATGTTGGCCACGTTTCCGCTGGAACTTCTGTTTTGGGAGATACGTTATTGGTCACAAGTAATCAGAGGGTTTCTGTGCAGTCCAAGGCCAACGGGCCATGTGTGTGGGCCACGAAGAGAGTTTCAATGTTGTCACAGACGATACTATTCTCCTTGGAGTTTGGTTTATTTTTACCATGTAAAAATCACACATTGAAAAATGCCATGACCCCCGGTCAGCAAAAGTTTCTTCCTTTCCATGTTGTCTGCACTGTATACTTAAATATTCTTGGCATAGGAATACACAATGACCCTTGCCTCTTCCAAACAAAATGTTTATGAATATCCTGCTTTCAAGACCAGTGTCTCCAAAATAGTTATTTTTTCAATTACTTAAACTCTTCGGACAAAAGGCACTGAATAAAATTAGCATGAAAAATAAAATAGCTGTATAGGTACCTTTGGTAACAGAATGCAGACCTCAACTGATATATCTATAAACAAAGGCCATATTTCCATATATCACACTTTTAGTCAGCTAAACTATGGTCGGCTTTGGCATTTGGGCTTTTGATGACACTAAAAGATTTTCATTTATTTACTTAAATAAACTACCAAACCAAAAGAAAACAGTGATTTTTTTTACATGTTTTTATTCTGTGAAGAGCAGGTGTACATGAGTGTTTGTTAAATAATTGAATTAATGTAGCAGATTATAATATCAGCAGATGTTTCAAACTACATTCCTTTTATTGTCAGTTCTTCCTCTTAAATTTTTAAAAGGTATACTATATAAAAGCTTCCCCACTTTGTTGTAATTAAATCATAAAAATGAAGCTATAGGCCAGGCGCGGTGGCTCAAGCCTATAATCCCAG